GCGGATCCCAACCGGCAAGGATGCTGGAAGATTAAATGGCACAGCCACACTGCGCTGCAGTGTCTCAGGCTATCCGTCCGCTGATGATGACTTTGATGACAGCGTCGAGGATGCCGACGAAGATGCCAATGCCAACCTCCTGCAAGGCTACTACGAGGCGCCAACCTCCTACAATGATGCATCCGCCAGTACATCTAAGAAAACACGATCCTCCGACCCCTCCAAGCGCAGAAAGAAGAAGAAGTCAACGAAGAAATCCTCCCGCTCCACCGCCTTGGGTCCAGAAGACGCGGAAGAAGACCCCGTTGCAGCTACCAGCCCATCCCCAAATCCCTCCATACCTCAAACCCCCGCCCCCCCTCTCCAATCACAATCCCAATCCCAATCTAACGCCCATCTCCCCGCATTCTTCACTCCATCATCCACATCCCGTCCCATGCGCAGAACAAAAGCTCAGGTCAACGCAAGCCTGATGCCCAACTCGGCGTCGGTATCATTCTCCGTACAAGGCTGGCTTCCCTCTGGTATCAAAGTGGAAAGTCTCAACGTCGACCAGCGTCGCAGTCGTGGCTTGGGTGAGAGTGTCAAGCCATACAAGGGTGTCAAGTATCTGTGTGTGAGTAATCGCGGTGTAGAACGGCGCTGCTGAGAACCCAATGTACTTGCATTAGTTTCTTTTTTTCGGTCAGATGAACCGAGGTATTTTTCTGGATTGGATAGCGCATAGCGCATTGGATAATTACTGCATTTGTCAGCATGAATGATGATATGAATGTTGGATCTGTCTATGTTTTTCCAATGAGGGGTCTACCTTGATGAAACTCCGGAGGCTTAGTGAGGTTTATACTCCGTACACATGCTTCCTTCCCCCTTCCATGCTTTCTCTACTGTGGAATGTTTTCCACTATGATGCAAGGCACCAACTTCAATGCGATAATGTCTAGATTGACTACGAAGTACACCTTCGCCTACAGGATAACATACTTCGAAAGCAACATCAAAATTCACAAGAGTGAAAAATTCATAGCTCATATATAACAAGAGCAATCCAATTCAAAAAGCACTCACCTAGATGGCAAATCAGTTACTATAGCAAAAGAATCCCCAGATCGTCCGCACATGCTAATCCAATCAAGGCCAATCTCTCCGATACCAAGACAAAGAATAAGCAGCGCCAACCCTAGGTTGAGGTAACCAACCTCAGGGGGCAAGTGTTCATGTTTAAAATTTCGCAGATCGACGTTCAAGGACTTGTAGGACGATGTAGGCAACTAATCCGGGTTAGACTGTGGGTTCCAAAAGCTAAGATGGGGAAAGATCTGCCAGTTTGAAACGATTGAAACAGACGTGAAAACGAAATGGCATGAGAAGGGGTCAAAAAAAGTATGATTCATTCAGATTCACAGATGAGAAGCTTATCTTTTTTTTTTGATTCCAGGGACATGACAGTATATTCAAAGGGTGGAAGTGAGATGGTGAAAAAGAACATCGAGATGGACATCCTTAGAGAGGGTAGCAACAAAATTAAGCCAGTACATGAGCTTTGGGGGGGGGGGGGGAGTGGGCAGGGATTTTGTGTCTTCGTCGTCTGGAGCATATAAACAGGCGCAGACAAGGGTATAGGTCACGGGATCTAGTTCTCCTTTTCCTCCAGAGAAAAGTATCCGGGACCAGATAAGTCGACCCACGAGGGCGATATGTGCAAGATGTGGGACACGTTCACAAAAATGCCAAACAAAGAAGAAAAGAAAGAAATCGGAAAGGATTACTTACTGGCAGCAAGAGCAACAGCTCTGCCAGCTCCAGCCTTCGCACTGCCTCCACCTAAAGTGTAGATACAGCGCAGCCAGCCGAAACTCAGCTTGTTGCCGTTGCGGTCGAAGTCGGGGTGCAGGGCGCTGGCAGCATTGAACATGCTGATCTTTCCAGCATACGGTGGGTACCGGATCGCTAGGAAGGACTCCAGCCAGCTTGGGGTGGAGGTGATGGGGCGACGGTGCACCCAGACGTCGAAGCTGGAACGGCCGCGGTAAGCACCGTAGCCACTCTCGCCGACACCGCCGAAGGGCAGGGTTGGGATGTGCAGCGAGGCGTCGTTGCAGGAAACTCCGCCGGAGCGTGTAGATGATACAACTAGGGGAGAGCGTTAGTATATCTGTCGTTCCCGAGGATCACCTGCAAGGTCGAAAACGAAGTGAGCAACTCACTCTTGTTGACATCTGCCTTGTTACCGAAGGGGTAGAGACCCAGAGGCGTACTCTGGACACCATTGGCTAGGCTAATGGCCTCGTCGAGGTTCTCCACAGGCAAGATGGGGATGAAGGGACCGAAGCTCTCCTGAGAGCACATGGAGTCTTCAACCGAGTCAACCTGGACAACGGTCGGCTCGATGAACAGCTCCTTCTCATCCATAGTGCCACCCATGAGGATCTGACCCTTCGTATTATCAAGCATGGACTTGAGACGAGCGAAGGCGGTGGCATTGACGATGCGCGAGTAATCGGGCGAGCCTTTCGCACCTTGGGGATAGAACTCCTTGTACGCTTTCTTGAACTCCTCTACGACCTCCGGAACGAGCGACTTGTCGACCAGCAGGTAGTTCTGCGAGGTGCAGAGCTGACCGGCGTTCAGGAGCTTACCCCAGAGCATGCGGCGGGCGACGAGACGCGGATCGGCGCTCTTGGACACGATAGCGGGGTTCCTACCGCCCAGTTCAAGCACGACGGGGGTCAGATGCTGTGCAGCGGCCTTAGCGATGATGCGTCCGACGGTGGCGCCGCCCGTGAAGAAGATCTTGTCCCACCGTTCTGCAAGCAGAGCCTGTGTCTCTGGGATAGCGCCCTGGATGATTGTGTAGCAGGAGGGGTCAAGACTGGCCTCGATGATCTTTTGCATGACAGCGGCGCTGCGGGGTGCATTTTCACTAGGCTTGATGACCACCGTATTTCCAGCGGCGATGGCACCGATCGCAGGACCGAGAGTCAACTGGAATGGGAAGTTGAAAGCACTGGAGTCGACAGCGCATGTTAAATCTTCAGGATCATTCTCAGGCGCATCGTGAGGGAGGAGACGTACCCAATGACCAGGACAGTTCCCAGAGGATCCTTTCTGATCTTGGGGCTCATGAACTTGAAGGTGAGATCAATATCGGGGGCCTTCTCATCCTTGGCCCATTTGTGCAGGTTACGTGTCGTGAAGACAATGTCGTTTAGGAGCCATCCACTCTCTCCGATGTTGGTCTCGAACCGAGGCTTGTTCAGGTCCTGGGCGCAGGCCTCCATAATGTCCTCCTCATTATCCTTGATACTAGGGAACAAATTAATCAATTGACCGAAAACATAACCTCAGTCAATACTCACGCCCAGTACAGCTTGCGCAGCTGGACGAGGCGGAACTCCAAGTCACGGGTCTTGTGCTCATAGAACGCCTGGCGGGCCGTGGAGACTCGCACAGGAATCTCGTCGAGTGACGTAGCTTGAAATTCGGGTAGTGCCATGGAGATGAATTTAAGATAAAGATAGATTAAGATAGATTAAGGTCAAAAGGAGAGAGGGGGGGGAGATGGGTTTATCTACGGAGTACGGATATTTAAGATCCACCTCCAACAAATTCTCAGTTCGAGACTCCAGAGCTTCCAAGGTTCCGCCCCCTATTGACTAGGCCCACTAGATCTTGGTTGAGTCGAAATGAGGTCTTTGCACTGGTCTTATGGTTGTGATGATGTTAGTGTGGATTTTAAGTAAAGTGTAGGTCTTTAAGCTTGTACTATATTGTATAGATCCAACTGCAGCTTCACACTGTTCATGTACCAGGTCAGATTCTGCATGTTCGAGACGAATTAAAAAAAAGTGGGGACATTCTGATGGGTTTCATCCTGCTCGGGATTTGGATCCGGGCATGTTTCAAGTGGAGCCCAGTAAATGATGATGTAGAAGGGGATCAAAAAAAGAGCATGGATGATAATCTACAAGGCATGCAGTAATAAAAATGATCCCGGTTCACCATCGTAAAGCATGCCTCATGCGCCGAATTTCCTGCTCAAAGCAACTAGAGCGTTTAAGGGTCTTTTCCCATTCGGTCGTTGGCTTGCGTTTTTGATTGGCTATAGATTCTAGCGGGGCTCGTCTTTCTTGAAACTGCGCCCGCTCAAAGTCAATGTACATTACACCGCTGACCTCATTCCAGACCATATTCCCGGGGATTGGATCATTGTGGAGCACGCCTAATCTGTGAATAGCATGTAACGAGATCTCGGCTTGTCGAAGTAACCGACTGGGATCAATTTCGTGTCGCTTAGCCAGCGTCCTACCCGCATACCCCATGAACATCAAATGCATAATCTCCGCGATTCCGTCGTAAGAGAATGGTTGACGGAGAGCGAGGCTACCCAGTAGAACCGGAATGTGTACTCCCTGGATTGGACGAAGATGCGAGTACACGCACTCCTCATGTTGGACGTGTTTAATAAACTCGATAGGCACACCTTTGCCAACGAAGGTATAGCCGTGAGACAACAGGGTCACTTTAAAAAGGGCTCCGCGTGTGCCATGGACATGCAAGAACTCACATTCTATGTCCAAGTCAGGCCGCGGGTCATGTTTAGAAAGTTGCCGATCCAAGAGACGAATGAGTGTCGCCTGACTGATTGGATGTCGACCAACTCCATGGTCAAACACATTGGGGCATTCTGGATCCAAAGTTCCTCTCAAAACCAAACCTAAAATGCATCGCTGCGTGCAATACCGGCGAAACTTGCCCTCTGAGTAAGAATCTCCTCGTGACTTTGTTGTAGCTGATGGTGGCAAGGCCGAATTATCAGCGAAGCAAGAACCCTGAGGCCTTCGGCTAGGGGTATTTGAGCTAGATCCGTCGGGGGAATCATCAGACTCGGGGGAATTCAGAGCCTCCAACGGAGTGCAGGATGCGAAGCTCGCAACAGTAGACTTTGATCGCGTCTTGACAGGAGACACGCGACAGTATTTGTTTCTGCTCTGCGGAGACTAGAATACGGAAGAGGGCATATCGAGCTCCGATATTTCGCCCCAAAGATCGTCATATATCATTTCCCAAGTGTCCAGTTTGCTCGCCACCCAATTTTTCCACTGAATGCCCCGCTGCGGTGTTTGCAAAGCTCGGAGGGTAAAGGCCAACCCCTGGCCGAGTGCTGTCAAGTGTAATCTATTATCGTCACTTGGGTTACCGGTCCATCCAGTTGTATCACCAACGTCTTCTCTCGGCACCGATAGATAATAGTATACAGTGGAAGGATCGTCGTGTGGAACACGAAGAAAGATAAATGCCTCGCCAGTATACACATAGCCGTACTCCAGCCCTCCATTGATCATGTAGGAAAACGCTTGTGTGATGACTGCAGCCACAACGCGCCCGCAAGTATATTCTGGCTTCTCCATTTCCTGGTAACGGACCACCTGCTCGAGGTCCATGTCGAAAATTCCCGCCTTTATGTGAGCGAGCGTGAGCTTATGTGGCACTTTGTATTCGACAATCAAGGCCGGAACTTTTTCCTCGGGGCCTTTGTTGTACACACAAAACTGATCCGCTCGGGGTCGAGAAGCCTTCCGCAGCGCAGGCCCTTGGTGCTTCGCAGCTGGCTGAGCCGGAAGGGGTAATCGAGACATACGGGACTGCTTTGCGGCCAACCGCCCTGAGCGACGCGGTTGTTCCTGTGCCAAGCTCAGAGATCCCATATTGGCGACTATCTTTGATTCATCCGTCAATGTATTCGCATGATTTTCGAAGGCCACATCTCCATGAAGGCGAAAGACTTGTCGGAGTTGAGAGCTTGCAAAGAGCTGCTTGATGACCTCGGCGACACGCGACTCGATCGTTAACCGTTCAAAATAGCCAAGATCAAGCTCTGAGCTCAACATTTTTTCTCGCACGTCTTTCCCATACCGCTCCAGTACAATCAACGGCAAAAAGTGGCGTTGAGTGACAAAATCGATACCCATGAGATCCACCCATATGGCTGTCTGCTCCTGTGGAAATCCCATCCACTCTCGGATTCTTGCCGGGCGGAGCTTATTGTCTGCAATTTGCTGGATCGCCTTTCGTCGATGGGTCTGGGTTTGGTTGAATAGCTAGCCCAAGGAATAGGTGAGTATGGCAAGCGTCGAGAAACTCAAGGAGGGTAGTCTGTCGAGTCTGGAGCCTTTCTTCGCTTAATTGTTGTTCAGCTTCTGCCAGACGGCGGCGCAGCTCCCATATCTCATGCTCCATTGCTGACCCTCTTCTTAAGATGAAATGATCTGTAAAGCAAACAAAACACGAACCCCGCTTTCTCTAAGCAATCACATCTTGTAGACCTGCATTCAACGTAGTGGTCTCAGGTTTGGAATGCTCTTCTGAGGAAAGAGACGACTTTTAAAGAGCACGGACCATTTGGACCCTGAAAAATCACAACGATCGGAACGTTCGATGGTCAGTGCGGCGGTGCATCAATTAGCCTCTAGACTCGGCTAGGGGACTACAGCCGTCCGAGAGCTGGCTATGTAGCTGGTTATAACAGTCCTGTGAAGTGGCTGCTAATGCTCACTGGGTTATGTACCCACCCACGAGAGGGCTGCCTTTCTACAGCACTTTGTATTCAAGGGATCTCCATGACACCACTTGCTTTCCCGAGAGGAAGAACGCTTTTGCCACCATGGTTCATTTCTTCCATTCAAATCAAAATCCCTGTCGCTACTTCTGTGGCAGATCGAGCGTATCTATACTCCGTACTTTGTACTTCATACTGAACTGGGAATCTAACGATCTATCCATGCCTATCTCATAGTAGCTTCTCTCTATTTTATCTGTCTTCACTGATTCTTACCGAAACTTGTGCCCCGCCGATTGCCAACTTTGTACAACAAGGAGTGCACAAAGAAATATCACAGTTAACCGTTAGTGTCTCTCATGGTGGAAGTGGAGGCCCAATGAATGCGCCATGATAACTGCTGACTTCAAGATTCTCTCATCTACTCTAGCACTGGTCTCGACACCCATTTACAGTTTGCGACACTGGAATTGTAGAGCATTTTGATAGTTACAAATTCGATGGAGCGCCTCTGAAAAAGTCACATTCGTTCAAAATGTACATCAATTATGCTATGTTTGCCAGAATGCAACCTAAAGCGGCTCGCCCCATCCAACAGGAGAGCAAGACCGACCGGGAATCAAATCAAGACTATTTAGAACCCAAAATTAAAAAAAAAACGCCACAACGGACAAAAACAAGACGTCCAGCATGGATCTAGAGATAGACAGCCAAGACTATCAGGGTATCAACAGATAAGCCGCACCATGAATCAGTTCTTGAACTGATCCTCGGTCACACCCTTACCCATAGCAGCCGTACTGCTCACACCACCAGAAACCATCTTCAGCAGATTATCAACGTAGTTAGCCCCACTCCACTTCTGGTGAGTGACGACGTCAACGCTCTGCTCCATCTCAGGCTCCTGAACGAGCTCGCCGTAGGCGCGCATGCCATTCTGCGAATACGCCTTCGCGAACTGGTGCGAGATGAGCGCAGTAGTGTGCAACCCAGCCAGGGTGATGAATTGCCACGAGTAGCCGAGCTGGCCGAGACGCGTGATGTACGTCTCCTGCTCTTCGCGGGGCATAGCCTTCTTCCAGTTGAAGGACGGGGAGAGATTGTAGGCGAGTCTAGTGGGGGAAGAGTTGTTAGTTGGGGGTTTTAGGTATAGGGAAAGACTGAGGGGAGAAAAACTGACTTTTGTTCGGGCCATACGGCGTGAACGCCGTCGGCGAATTCCTTGGCCTGGTTGTAGTCGGGCAGCTTGCTCTCCATCCAGATCAGATCGGCAAAAGGAGCGTATGCGATGGCGCGGTTGACGGCGCACTGCGTGCCGCCCTGGTAGCGGTAGAAGCCCTCGCGGGTACGGGGAGATTCCCAGTTCCAGATGATGTCGACGCCGGTGAGATTCTTGGCGATGGCGCGGGATTCGGTGTTGCTCTTGCCCTTGGAGGCAGCGAGATACTGATCGATGAGGTTTTTCTTGTTGGCGTTAGAGCCGGCGTTGATGGTGTCGATGACGGCTTCGTTGAAGAGCTTGAGGCCCGCCTCGGTAGTCCATTGATCCTCGATTGCCTGCAGCTGGGCGCCGTTCTTGCCGGCCTGTTCGGCGGCCACCATGAGGTCGTTGAGGGGCTGTATGCTGGGGTTTGTGGAGCCGACGATAAAGGCGTGGTCGCGGTGGTCGATGGTCGATGTGATGAGGGTGGCGGCCTCGGAGTCGGTGCGGGCAATGGCCAGGAGATCGGAGCCCATGATATCAGCCTGGGCGCGGATAGCAACCAGGCGGTTGATATGCTCGCTGATGGGAACGAGGACCTTGCCGGCCATGTGGCCACACTTCTTCGTGCCGGGGGCCTGATCTTCGATGTGGATACCGGCGGCACCACGCTCGACGAACAGCTTGGTCAGCTTCATGACGGCAGTCAGACCGCCATGTCCGGTGTCGGCATCAGCGATAATGGGTCGCAGGTAGTCGACGTTGGCAACGTTTTCTCGCTGCCCTGCGGGGGTAGTAACGCGCTCCTCACGCTGTTTCCGGTCATGGAAGAGCTGTGCCATGAACAACTGGTTCACCTTGCGAGGCACGGTATCCTGGGTGGTACTTGTCAGTATGCGCCAACTTTTGATCTCACCGGTATATCCTACGTACCATGGGGTAATCAGCCAGATCGGGGGAGGGCTCGTCAGTCGACGAAGCAGTCGATGAACTCTGCCAGCCCGAGACGTAAATAGTGTCGAGGAACTTGCACATTTGAGTGATCATGGTAGGCTCAAGACACCCGTAGGTATAGCTGGCCTGCTTGTTCTGTGTGTGAGGTGCAAATTTAGCATCTCTACAGTTGTAGATCGCGATAGTTCCCAGCTTAACTTACCTGGAAGTTGGACTCAATAATACCCCAGAGCTTCTTTGCTTGCACATTGGACGGGTACTCGATCTTCAGGTTACCACGCTTGGCCACAATCTGCTCAGCGGTGAAAGGCCGCTTGGTGTAGCGCCAGCGAGAGTCTTTCCACCAGTTCTGAACGGCCTGGACCTCCTCCGCAAACTGGCGGTCCTCATCTTCGTGCAGACCCATGACTTTGGGGTACAAAACCGAAAAGATGTACCAATATCGCCAGAAAGTTTATTCCGTGGAAAATGTCACAACTATTCCAATGCTATTCCAAGTAGAAACGAAACGAAAAAGAAACGAAAAACAAGCCAAGTGAAGAGAACAGAAGCTATGATTAAATGAAGAAAGCGATTACCAGACAGAAAACCCGGGGCACTTATTTAAACATTCGAATGCGTCACAGTCGGTAAACGCTCGGCTCACCGGGAATCAGACCAATACTTCTAATTGCCTAGGTACCCTCGTTCATCTCACTGAGTCTTTCACGGGCAGAGTGCTCCGAAAGGCGGAATGCGGGTACAACTGGGCTCGGGAGAGAGGATCCAGGCTCTGATCCTCGGTCTAATGGGACAAGCCTTTGCCACTGCTAACTGGACCAAATCCTCTATTCGGTGTAACGAGAATCGGCATCTCACTGGAATGGAAAGACCATTTCATTCCAGGCTTTTGAGGTCATCTTCCCCTCCTTGATTGTTCACTCATGATGGTCAATGTTTGATGTTCAGTCGAAATCGGATGACGTCGAAGACACATGCCGTTACCGCGACAATACGAGATGCTTCGTAAGGTAATTTTCACATGCATCAACTACACTTCGAGCATATTGATCAGGAGGGAATAGTCTGAAATTGACTAGGCCAGGATCTCTCCGTAATACTCTGTGCGTGTTACTTTCCGGCTGATGAAAAAACTCACTCGGGGGGGAAGACGTCCAGGAACAATATCTGAGTCATCCTTGCTGTCTTGTCATGCCCCGGTATTCGGCGGGTCTCCACCGGGCAGTCCTCAAGATCCAGCTGTCCAGCTGTTCTTCACATTTGGTTTCGACAATGTTAATGATCGTTGTGACGGTTTTCGGTACTTGCCTTTTGTGGTTCAATTGTTCTATCGATACTATCCGCATTGACCTAAGTCCATCTTATATAGAGGCAACTTAAGTTACACTGTTTCCCATTCTCTTGATAATCCACCACTTTTCAGTCCACCATGCGGTCCATGTATGTGGATATATCACAGGACTAGCATCTATACGAAATTAGGCCGAAACACTCTTTACGTGCTCCCAAAGTATATATACACACATACATCTTTCCAATCACACGCATTCCACCCGGTTGATCAAAGAAAAAAAAAAAAAACTCAAACCCGCCCTATGAGTTGAACCTCGGCACAACGGAGCTCTGTCAAACTAACCGCATGCACCGATAAGACTTGCAGATCAGGAACTATACGGGGTACAATGCAACCAGGGTCTGGAAGCAAAACATGAAACCAGGCATCTTTATAGTGTAAGAGATATCAAAAACACCTATAGTGTCAGGGGTTGGCCTTATCCACGAATGAAAATTAGAGGTCAGATAAGCGTGGAATGGCTCAAGGAGACAACCGAAGACATTGTCCACACCGATATCAGAATTGGAGCAAAAAAGACCAAATACCTACCTAGAAACAAGTGCATGTACGCACACTCTAATTCCTTCAGCCCTAGACCTCACGAAAACTACCTCGGGAAAATAAGGGATCTTCAGCTCCGCACCCGTTTGTTTTCGATCTCTTGTCCGAGAGCCCTATAACAGACAATGACGCCTTCGGGATCTCTGAGATGCGGTCTTTTTTTCGGTCGGGGAAGTATTGCTCTGCCGAGGTACTCATCGGCGTATCTTCGCTGTGGTTTGTGGTTTGTGGTTCCGGGGTGTACTACAGGCAGCCTAGCTCGTTTGGCGGGGATTTCAGTGACCCGAAGTATGTAACGAATCGTGGCAAGCACGAAGCATACCTCTACTAGCACATCTAGATGTACCATGAAGCGAGGATTCAAATTGACGTCCATTCTTTTTGCTAGTTTGATGGGTCTTCTTGTGCGAAAAGGGAAAGACCAAAAGCCAAATCAAACCCGAAACCAACGCTTGACCTGAAAATATTGCCCGCTGATGTCTTGATCCAAGATCTCGCTCCCTTCTACCTGAGTTTTTCTACTCCTGTCTTGGCTGCTCACTCCCACACAATCTGTGCACCAATTTTTGACTGGAACAGCAACCCAACATTCAATCAGTATGCATCCTGAGCCACGACTGCCCGGTGGT